TTACGTCAAGTTCTTTCACGTAACCAACCCCAACACTCAGGGCAAACTGGACATGTGGCCCCGGTATTCTGGTGCTTTCATTCGCAAGCCGCCAGAATGGTTTCTGGATCCACACGACGAAGCAATCCCTGCAGCCGAGGCAGTAGTAGGCCGCTGGGGGTTGGTTCCATGGAGCTTGAGGCCAGATCCGGATGAAATAACAGCAGCGATGAAGCGGTCGACGTTTAATGCTCGCATCGAGGACGTCAGCAAGCGATTCAGCTTCCGTGGCGCATGGAAGCGAGGGCAAAAATGTATCGTTCCGGCAGATGCGTTTTATGAGCCAGACTGGCGAACCAAAAAGGCGGTGGCCACACGGTTCACGCGAGCCGACGGCCAACCAATGGGAATTGCTGGCTTGTGGGATACGTGGACGGAGCCTGGCAAACCACCGCTGCTGTCATTCACCATGCTTACCATGAATGCGACCGAACACGCATTGCTAAAGCATTTCCACAAACCAGATGACGAGAAGCGGATATTGGTCATTCTGCCCGAGAGCCGGTATGAGGCCTGGCTTGATGCACCAGTGGATATGAACATGGATTTCGCCAGACACTTCCCTGCAGACAACCTGGTTGCCACGGCGGCACCACCAAAGCCACCTGCAGCAGCTGCGGGAGCGTTGTTGTGAGTGAACTCGACTCCAATGTCCCTTTGGATTGGCGTGTCGCGGCCGGTCATCGTCTGGTGGCGCTGCAGGATACCGATGCGGACGTAGTAGATGTGTGGGTGCTAAATATATGGAAAGAATTTGGGCATCTGCCTGCTATTGAAGCTGTTGATGCTTGGCATGCTGTTGGAGTAAAAGCGGAAGCATCTGCTGCAGCTGGAACTCATCCTCACCTGAGTCGTGAGGCATGGTGGATACTCACATACGCCGATACATGGAACAAGTTCATGAAGGGGACTGGTGACATGGAATTGCTCAAAATTGAGGGCAGTGTGCGCTTTGGAATTGACGGCCAAGGAGACCCGGCGACGGTCGCCGGCGCAGAATTCGAAGCCATGAACCCTTCAGACAAAAAGTATTACCGAGGGTTACCAGACCGACCCAAATGGGTTCCGCCCCTGGCTTGAAGTTGCTGCACTGCTCTGGACTACAGGTGCGAGATTTGTCGGCTAATCTCTGGATGTTTTACCAAGGAGAAGTTTATTTCAAAGCATCACGTGGAAATCTGGCACGCAAACGACAATGATGGAGTTCTGAGTGCTGCGTACCCGGGCACGTCCACAGTCCCGCTGGACATCATTGATCGGTATACATTGAGGTACGATGCCGAGCTAGAGGCCGCAGATGAGTTGGCCGCATGCGCGATGGCAATCGGAGAATTAGATTCTCAGCAGCCTCCGCTGTTGCCACTTGAACCAGGACACGTGCGCGTAGTGCGTTATGGGGAACCACGTCGTAGCATGCCTGGCGATATCCTCATCGTGTACCAGCCAGCCACTGAACACATCAAAGCCTTTTATTGTTATCGTGGAGAACCCAGTCAGCCAGCATTCAACAAGATGCAACAACTTCTCCCGAGTTTGACGGGGCGCCAGCTGCATTAGTCATTGGCTTTTAAATGCATTTGGACAAAAAAATCCCCCGCCATCTTCAGATGGTGGGGGATTCTCTACAGAAGCAGGATGAGACCGAGTCAACGCCGCTACTAACCGTATCCTCTGTGCGCTACTGCAGGCATTGAGCGCTGAACGCTAGGCCTTGCAAGCAGCAAATGAGCGCGGGCCACGTCTCGGTGTTCAGTCGCGCGGTGTACGCAATGCCGTAAGACCCGTTTGTGCTTTGGGTGGAATTCGTCCCTGCAGATGCCGGAAACCTTGTAGTCGCTGACCATCCATGGACGGTTAAAGGTTTCCATCGAAGCACGTTCGACTACAGCATTCCAGATCGCCATCAGCTTTGCGGCTCTTTTCTGATGGTAGCTCGCAATGGCCGCATGCTCGGCTTTTGACCAGGCAGGACCAAAACGCTTGATGAGCTTCGCAGCAACCTTGTCGGTACCGCATCCCAGAGCAGTCGTGCGGCAGTTCCAGCGTGGCAACTTCACTTCCTTGTTGTACGCGATGTGGCTCAGCGGGACCAGCATTTCCGTCGTCATGCGACCACCAAAGGGTTGGCAACCTGGCAGGGACGATCTTTTTCCTCGTGCCGGGCAACCCATTTTTCCAGGAAGGCGATCCACTGGGGGAAATCTGCACCCAGCGCCGCGGGGTTGTCGTGCAGGACACCGGTAGTGCCATCTGGAAGAATCTCCACGATGTAGCTTTTGTACTTCGCCGGCCGGCAATTTGGGCCCATGAAAAAGTCGACGTGGCCCGGATCAAGGCACTCACCGGTTTTCTCTGTCAACGTGGCCAGCACCTGGTCGTTGCTACCGTAAATCTTCATCAGCAAAGGGGTAGACCCACCTCCCAAGTTGATGGTTTGCAGCCCTCGCGCACCGAAGCGGATGGACGGTTTTCCTTCTCTCATATTGAACTCCAGAAATGGAGGTACCTATGCCAAGGGCATTCGGTGCCCTCCGGGGTTGTTTTCGAGTGAGCCGCTTGGACTCATTCACTGGCGCGATAACGTTGCGCGGACGGTGGTTACACCCACGAACTATAACCTCTTCTCCGATATCTGTGAAACCTGGGAATGGTTGTGATGGAACAAAAAAAGCCCTGCCAGTTGATCCGAAGATCACTGCAGGGCTTGTGTTGAGTTTTACGGCTAGAACCTGGGTTCAAAAAACGTGCATTCCTGTACGTAATCTTCATCCTGAACCTTGCCTGGCCAATTCTTGTCGCATGCGCTCATCTCTCCTGGGCGGTATGTACACAAGTGGCATGTGGCGCACAGGTCATCGTCGCTTATCGACATAGGCCTGGTCGCACTGACGTGAGTGGGTGTGTCGGTCATTTTGTCCTTATCTGATTATGGGTTTTAGCCCGGTTGGACCAGTTAGACGGCCTCCAAATCGAAGGAGGCCTGTGCCCGCATGGCTGAGATCATTCCCGCCCGCTGGTCCCGTTCACGGGTCCTGAATGCAATAGAGCGCGCTTCCATGATCCCTGTGTGCAGATCAACCACATACCGGAAGTATGTTGAGGTGCACGGTCCTGTCCAGTCACACCATGCCGAACGGATGGCGTTTTGCTGCTCAGGGGACGCGGCGAAGAAATCTCTTCTCGCTGCTTTCCAAACACCAGCGTGGAAATCACGCATTGTGGCGACTTGCTGCATATCCGTGAGCCTTCGGCGCTCGGTTTCAGCCTGTTTGTCGAACGGGGCGGGAGTCGGCAACAAACCAACCAATAACGGGTACTGCTGGTCTTGCTGCAACGCCTGGCGGTCGGGCTTCGATTGGGCTGCGGCCAGCTTTCGCGCTGTCTAGGTAAATTGCGTTGGGCGGCTGTAGGGAGTAAAACGCATACCCTTCACCCTCCAATCGTCGTCAAGGCCACCTCTGGTTTCAGTACGGGCGTCGTTGCCTTTTCTGTCTCGCGCTGTGGCTTTGAGATCAGTGCCGGGTTCGCCCAGAGGATGTAGGTAGCTTCGGAGACTGCCATGACTTCTGGCCATTTGCGCTGACTCTCGCTTATCGGTTTGGCCAGATACGGACCCGCTGGGTCAAACAGCCAGTGATGACCGCTTGCATGAACCAGGTCCATGCGACGCTGATCGATCTGTTTTGCAGTGCCAATTTCCATCAGCTCGTAGCAGGAACCGGCAATTTTTCTGGTGCGCTTCGGGACTTCTCCACCGCGCAGCAGGATTCCGTGGTTCTTGCCACCACATGAGCAGCGGCATTGGACTTCACGCGCATGCCAGCAGTGGTCGCCGCAGGTATGACCGTCTTGAAGAAGGTCCAGGAACATGGTCAGTTCCCTCCTATGACGTGTGCAACGCGTTGCCAAGGCTTCATGGGCAAGGTGCTGCGCAATTTGGCAGTGGACTGTTCACTTGAGCTGAACAGATTTGATGAATTCCCTTCACTCATATTGATCTCCATATTGGAGGGACCGTTGCCAAAGGCAGGAGGTGCCCTCGGGGTTGGTGACGAATAAATCAATAAGACTTATCCATTGGCGCGATTACGCTGCGCAGGCGGTGGTTAGACCTAGAAACTATACCATTTAGTCCGGTACTTTCCCATCAGGCCTTCGGACTTGAGATCTCATGATCATTTCGCGCGAGGGGGCCGGTTTTCTTGTCCGGCACCATCTTGAGCAATTCCTTGTTACCCAGTTCCCACGCGGCAAACCATGAGGAAAATGACTCTTCTGATGCCTTGAGGTCTTTCCAGACAGTGGCATCGTCCACGCTTTCTATGAGCACCCAGTAGAACTGGCCAGGCTCCTGTTCGTCAACGGTAACTGCTAAATGGCGTAACTGGTTAGTAATCAAGGGTTTGTCCAATGCTGGATTTGAAGCTGCTCAACTTAGATGCAAATTCTAAGCATGCCAAAGGCAAATTCAGGGTTGGCGCCGTAGGCGACTGCTTAGTATTAAGTGTTGCTGGCCGAGGCTGTTACTCCTTCACCAAGCCATGCGAAAAACTCGGGTGGCAAAGATTCCTCGACCTTCTCCATACTGCGAAGGTTAACCGTGGCCTGGCAGCCCATCATGGGCATGCCTGGTAATTCCCTGTCTTGTCGGCTCCACGCCATTTCCAGATATCGCCGCCCGTCTTTCTCGGCTTTTACCGCGGTTACGCGCCCATGGCCATAAAGCACCATGGTGCGGCCAAAGGTTTCGGTTTTCTTGAGGACGATCAGATCGCCAGCGCAGATGTTGTTGAACGTGTAAATTTGGGTGGGATCTTCGTCGTAATGGAATGTGCAGATCCCTTTCTCTCTCCATTCCGTGTCAAGACGGTTCGCAATTTCTGCATTCGGACAGAACCCCATGAAGATGATGCCGGTATCGCGCGCAACAGCGCTGTCGATCGCTTGCAATATGACGGTAGTGTCTGCATCGTTGACATACTTTGGCAGTGACGTCTTACGGCGTACTTCAGCGAGTTCGTCGCGTGTCAATTTGCCAGCTTGAATTAGGTCCAGCATCGCTTGGTATTTCATTTTCTTCCTAAAAAGGTAACTGCCGTCGCTGAGTTCGAGTCTATTTGAATTTGACAGAAGGGACCGTTTGAAAACGTGCGAAACGCATTTGTAATGTCGCATCAAACTGCGTCAGCTTTATTCTGTTGCTTGCTGGCGTAGCTGTCAGGCCATTTTTGGGCCAAAAAAATCCCCGGACAGACCATGAGGTCGGTGCCGGGGTTTTTAGGACTGTCAAACGGTTTCAGACATAGCGGATTTACATTGCATTGGGACGCAATGATCTACTCCGCCTTGGCTTTCCAACGCGTATTTGTCATTGAGTGCTGTGGCCAT